TGCTGCCCCCCCCCCCCCCCGCCAAAAAAAAGAGTAGGGGCCCGAAAGCGAGCAGCTCTCTGGGAAGGGTCGTGGCCGGGAAGAAGAGTGAGGTTTCCCCCCGCCCCCGCCCCCGTTCTTGGTGCAAACGGTTGAGTGATGGTTGAACATGTTTTGAATAGCTAAGTGACTTCATTGAGCGATGGTCTATTTGACGCATACTGCATTTGGTGCCCTTTCTCTCTCCGAGCCGCTGCCTTTTAACATATTCTGCAGAGGACCTCCATGCTGAAACGCTCCATGCCATCTCCGAGCCAGGGAAATCGATACGGGCAAATTCATCGGGGGTGGCGGGGGTGGCGTTTAAAACACAGGAGAGAGAGAGACACGCAGAGACACCCTCGCACCCTCTCGGAGGAAGAGCCGGAGCCCCTCTCGGTCTGAGCAGCCTGTCAGCCGGCTAGTCATTCGGATCGAAGCACAGGGGCAGAGCATCGATCGGATGAGACATTGATGAGGCTCCCCGTCGCCTCCGAAGGGCTCCCGAAGGGTGGGGTGGGTGGGGGTGTTGGAGAAGGCGGCCGAGGGAAGCGTCCTCTTCTTCCCGGTCCCCGTCGCTGGGACCCCGAGGAGGCAGAGAGAGGGGAAGCCGGTGGAGGAGCCGGGCTGGGGGCAGGCAGGGAACGAGCCCAGCCTTAGACGTTAGGGGGTGGGGGGGGTTCCGGTTTCGGCTTCTGGAGCCGGGGGCGCACGTCCCTCTCCGGCTACCGGGCATTTGGAGGAGGGGGGGGGATGGGGCGAAGCGGAGTCCTTTCCGCTGCTCTCGGCCGCTTCCATTTTGCCCGAGTCCTGCTTCGCCTCCCCCCCCCCCCCCCTTCCCGGCTCATCTGTGCTGTGATCACCCGTAGATTAAAAGGGCAAGGAGCGCTTAATTAAAAGCTCCTAATTGCCCCCCATCCCAAGACGTGCCGTCAGCCTCTTTCACTCACTCGCCGCTGCTCTCTCGCCCGCTCGCTCTCATCCAAACGGGCCTCGGGAAAACCGTCGCCCAGCGAAAGGGGTGTGAGATGCAGACCGAGAGGCGCCAGCCTGGGCCCTGCGGGGGAGGGGGTCAGGGCCCCTCCCCAGCCCCTCCCCCCAAAAACAGTCGGTGGGGAAGGAGGAGGAGAAATGGTGCTGGCAAAGAACACCCTGAGCCGCTTCCCTCCCCCTCCCCCTCCAGGCTGTACAGCTCAGTCGGAGCTTGGATATGAACCTCACTGGATAAGCGAAGTCTGCCCTCCCCAGTCCCCCCCCCCCAAGGAAGCAGAGGCAGCTGCCCCTCAGCCAAACTCTGCTGGCCTGAGCATAGGGCCGGCTCACCCGCTAAGCGAACTAGGCATTTGCCTAGAGACCGAACCGGCCTGAGGGGCACCAAAACAGGGCCAGTCCCCCCCCCACCAAAGCCCCCCCCCAGCACCTGCCAAAAGCCTAGTAAGAAGCCTCACCCTGGGACTGGGTCGGGGGCAGGGGGGGGTCTGTCCAGGAGCTTCTGGAGGTTGGTGCTTGGCAGACAAAGAGCAGTGGGCTGGGGAGTCCCAGAGAAGGTGCCAAGGCCTAGAAGACCTCTGGATTGCCCAGTTGCCTCCCCAGCCAGGAGGGGGGCTGGTTTCCTTTGCTCCCCCCCCCCCAGCATAACAGTGAGGATGGGCTGATTCATGGCTCCCAATGAAAGGCATCTGGATGGGGCTTCTGGTTTTCTTGTAGTCATGTAGTTGGTCTCCAGAAGCATTACTTTGGCCTTTCTTTTCTGAAGAAGAAAGGCAGTCTGAAAAGTTTTCCTGACTGGGTTGCCCACTGGGAGGGGGGGACTCTCTTTCTCCCCTCCCTTCAAGGCTTGTCTACGGGTGTTGCCAGTGGCAAGAGACAAGAAGAGATCGAGTTTTGCTTCATTTTCTTTAAAAGAAGGTGGGGTGCTCTCTCCTTAGGGGTGATTTCAGGACGGCTGTTGAATTAGATGACTTCGCTAGCCCCATTTACCACCCTTCAACTGATCAGGATTGCCCTAGAAGTGTACCAAAACAAATGTCCTGTGTTAGTTTCTCCCTGGATCTTTGACTGTGAGCTGGATATGTCTTCCATGTGGGAGACTTGGTTGGCTTTCATTAAGTGAAAATCATTAAATGAGCATCAGATCCACAGAAAAAGACCCTCATGGATGTCAAGCTCTGTTATGGAGTTTCCACACAACCTTGTCTCACTCTACTCATTTGCTGAGCAATGTCTTGCCTCAATATTGGCTCAAGGCACATCTCCCTAGTACTCCAAAGGCCAATATTTCGGCACTGGGAAAAATGGGATCCTTTGCCCACTTAAGCATGCCTTTTGCTGATGCGCATTCTGCTGGGCATATAGTTGCTCAGGTGTCACTGGTTCCCAGTGGCTTTTGTAGCTTCAAGCTTTGCCCAGGATGAGGATTTCTAGGACAGGGATAGATAAGTTCTTGAAGCCAACTGTTGGTATACTTGCATGTCCAATGACAGAAATGGTGTCAGTTCAGAAGAGCATGCCCAGACCGAGGTGACCTCCAGCTGGTCAAGTTAGTGACCATTCCAGCAGGAGGGCAAGCAGTACTGAAGGACACCATTTCTCTCCCATAGTGTCCAAACCTTTGTGACATCTGTGATGGCTGCATTGCTGTGGAAGTAAGCCCCTCTGAACACGTAGCAAGGTCAGCCCTGTCTACTCTGACTGGCAACAGCTCTCTGGGGCCTCAGGGGGAGGGGAGGCCCTTCACATCACTGACAACTTGATCCTTTTCAACGCAAGATGCCTGGAACTGAACTTGGGACCTTCAGCATGCAAAGCAAATGTTCAGCCACTGAGCCACAACCCCTCTCCAGCACAGTCAAATAAACATACATAAGTCTGAATTTAGAAAGAAAAAAAAGGTATATCAGAGGGTGAGCGATTCTCTGCTGTACTGTTCCAATATGGAAACATTTAGTGCTTTAAAAATAAAAGGCAGTAAATGCTACCAGGTCACTGGGATGCCCTAAAGTATTCCGCCACTATTTTCTGCACCTTTGGCTTGTTCAAATGTTCAGCTTTTCAAAAAATTCTCTTTGTTTTAGTTATTTCTCAGAAGATTGTGCACTTTCCCTCTCCGTCGTTATAATACACATCTGCCCTGTTGGGTCCCCCCCCCCCCGGGAAGCAACAGCTACATGATCCTTTATTTATTTATTTACTAAAAATATTTGTGTCTTGCTTTTCTCCTACAAAGCACAAATAAAGTGGCTTACAAATTTAAAAACTCAAATGGCAATCTAAAACCTCAGTATTACAATAGGACAAAAAAGAGCCCCTCTTCTTCTACATAAGTATGTTCCAGCCAGATATTTCAAATCAAAAAAATTCTATTCCAGGTTGTCAGAGTTGACCTATGCAATCTGGACTTACACAGCTTCCTAAACCACATAAAGTTTGGGGTAAGGCACACAGAACTACAGAGGTGCTCTTTCTCAGGCCTGAGCAGTTGGGGTGGGGCTGAATTAGGTGGTTAAGCTCAAGGTCCCCTTCCCCACATTCGTGTCTGGCCTGAATATCATTCTGTTGGGTTTGAATTGGGACTCACAGGGCTGTCAAGGAGAAGCCAACGTTCATTGAGATCCTGACTGTGCAGATCTTCTAAATTAAGTTTTAGTTAAGCAGGGATGGTCACCTGTAGGCCAAGTTCAGCTCCT